CATTGAGCTACTGTGTGTTTATACATAAATCAATGAGGCAAAAAATTACAAATCATTGCAGCACATGAATTCAGTCAAACCAAACAATCCTGGTTGCCACACGAGGAGATGCTATTATTTATTTACTATCAGATTTTACATGATTAATTTAGCTTTGCAATTAAAGCATTAATAAAGACAAATAAAAAATGCATCAGAGCATTGAGCACTGATCCATTTTCATCTAATGGACTTGTTCGTTTGAGTCAATCAGCTGTAGTTAGCGCTCTGACCATTTGCTGTAACAGATCTCGGACTGGAGACTCTGACAGTGCCAGGTGGATGAGTATTGCTCTTTTGTTCATCCCTCCGTCATTTATACCTCCTAAATAAGGCTGCGGGTCAAAGGGCAGCTTTAGATGTCCGGACCGGCATGTTGCCTCCACTGGAGGTCCATCTTTCTCACTAAACACATCACAGTGAGGGTTAAAACAGGCAGTGAGATGCACAAAAGCATCCAGTGACCTTCCAATATAGTGAGTCTCAGTGTTCGGAGACTTTGCTGGATGTTACCACATAAAAACATCTCTCTTTCTTGCTCTCTCTTATAAGCTTCATCACTGCATAATTTAAGTTGTAATGGAATATAGAAAACTATAGCGAGCTGTGTCAGCTTTATAAGCATTTGTAAATGCTTTGGTAAAACAAAACTACCATGCAAGCAATTTATCTGTTTATTAACTGCATAATAATAATAATAACAACAACAACAATAAAAGTTCCCTTAAACATTTCTTTGGCATTCAGAAATGTTAGTTAAGGTTCATGTTGTTAGTGACAATTTACAATATTTGTACATTACATTTCTAGTAAAACATGAATAAATCTGTAAGGTTTATTATTCAATACTACTTTGAATACAAAGTCATTGCTACGTACTTATATTATTCTAATTATAATTATACATTTTTAAACAAATTTTGTCAGATAACACTGGATACAGTGTGTTATAAAAGATATGGACATTGTCTTGGCAAAGCAATGCCTTTTTCGGATAAATATTGCCACCTTGTGGTACACATGTGTTTCGTATTCAAAAACATGAATAATTATTTTATTTTTATTCAATTTTTAAGAGATATTTAAAGGGATTTTATTTTATTATATTTTAAAGATGTTATTTTACTGATTTTGTTTTTGTCCCTTCATGCTTGCCAGATATTTTCTGGTGTTTCTTTCTTTTTTTAAAATTTTTATCAGAGATCTTCTGACCAAATTATTTATACATTTTTTAAAGTAAATATTTTATTTTATTCTTTCTTTTTTTTCATGTTGCTTTTGTCCCTACCTCTCTGTCAGAGATTTTCTAATTGGAAATTAATTTACAAACAAATAAATACAATACAATACAATAAGTAAAGAAAGATAAAAGAAAAAAAAAAAATACAGCTCCTTTATGTCTACCTTTTAAAAATAAAAATTTCTCGGGTCATTCTAAAGGTTGTTTTTTGATGAAATAATTTCATCACAAAAGTTATGAGCATTAGCAACCAATCTGGACTCTAATCCCTATTATATGAGCCTCTCGCCATCCAAAACATGAAAGACAGACCAAGGAGGACAGAGATCAGAACATGAGTGAAAAGCCTCCATCCTTCAGCCCTGAGTGGTGCAGCAAGGCCCTGTAAATCAGCTCTACTGCAGCTAGACTCAGTGTTTGGAACAGGGAGATTGTCCCCTCTGCATCATTAGGTGCTAATAAGACACCCCCGGCCCTCACACACACACACACACACACACACACACACACACACAGATATTCCTCAGGCCTGCCACAGTCTACAAATGAGGAAACTGACACGACTGACCTCGGGATAGGGGTCATCATTAGGTCATCACCCCCTCAACAATCACATCCCACCCCATC